TTACTTGTCTTAAATTACTAAAGAAGGATGGTGTTGTAACGTTAGGCGAGACTTTTTTTATTCATTGGTTTATGGATCTGCCAACCGTAAATATTCAGAAAGTAAAAAATAAAATAAAAATTTGGATGTCAAAAAATTTTACAATTTTAGTTAATTTTAATTAATTTGGGGTTCTGACATGAAGAGCATTTCAAGTGAACTTTGAGTCTAGGTACTGCTGGCTCATGTTATCGTTGTGACTATCAATATGGATATTAGCCACGGTTTTTTGCTTTTTGTTTTTAAATTGACGTTAAAAAATTTTATTAAGATTATGAAATGTGGTTCTCATTTATACTCAGTTCGGTTTTTTTTAAAAAAATTTTCCGACCTACCGACCTCTTATTTTTAAAAGTCAAATCCGTAAACCAATAAATAAAAAAAGTCTTGCCTTAGTGGATATTGGGTCGTTCCAGAAAAGATCCACACTCCCCCCACGGAGGAAATTTCTGCTGTCCGGAGGGGGAGGGGAGAAAAAATTGTTTCTGATAATAGTAAATGTATTGGGACATCCGAAGGGGGTAGGGGGGTTAACTTCCAATTTCCTCTGTGTGGGTGGTATGGATGTTTTCTGGAATGCCCCATTTATAATATTGATAAAATGGGGGTTCCCTGAGAATTGGAACGAAGTAAGGCTGCCCGATTAAGTGGAAACAATATGGCAAATTTCAATATGGCGGAGTGTAACAATCTAACAATATGGCGGCCTGATAAATCTGTAAAAATGATACATGTTTAGAACATGCAAAGAGCAAAAAATTGTGGCATGAACATGTCACGAAACATGCTTCTTACAACTACATGCTATGTTCATAGGAATTTGAATAAGTTTTTAGTGGGGCCAAAAAAATATGTGGGTTTCCGGTTTCTTCTTATAAAAACTTGGGTAGGGTAGGTCAGTTTTAAGTTTTTTTTAAACTTTTTTTAAAATTTTGCTAACAACCGGACGCCATTTTGTTTAGTCAGTGCTTCCACATCCAAAGATAAATTTCCCAAATATTCCCTCGAATTTCAATTTTACACAAACTTTTTCCTCTAAGTGGAAACACAAGCATGACCCAATAAAAAAGTTTAGGGTCGGGATTTCGACGTCCGAAAGGTAGGTAGGGTTGGGAAACCGGAAACCCACATTTTTTTGCCTAGGCATGATTTTTGTTTTATTTTCATTTATGATTTTCTATCAATGCCCCAACTAGTTTATATGTAATGTATAACATATTTTGTAATATAGAAAATAATAGAGTTCATATAATGTTTATGTATCTAATACAACTACATGCTGTGTTGATAGGAATTTGAATAAGTTTTTAGGGTTGAATAAGTTTTTAGTACGCATGATTTAGAATTTTTGTTTTTATTTATGATTTTGTATAAATAATATATGGTTGTAAAATTTATAATTGACACATGGACTAACAGTTCCCACAACAGTATGCATTATAAGTCGTTGATCAGGAAAATATAATATTTCACAAAGTGAAAATTCTTTGTGTACTATTAATATTAAATATATTTTCTTGTAACACGTTTGTGACGAGATTGCTTTCTTTAATAATAGAATAGAAACTTTATTTCACGAGGAAAAACGTATTAACCATAAAAGTTATTGAACATACGGCCCTCGCACTATTTTGATATTTGAGAGGTGCATCTGAATAATTTGTCTAAATATTGAAATCTGATTTATGTTCATTCTGTACACAATAACCTTTGATATTCCTTATTGTGTAACTTGATAGCGTTCACGACAAACAAAATATGCAAGTATTAAATATATTTTCTGCATGATTTCTGTGTCATTTCTTTGCTAACTCCTTGCTCAGTGACAAAACATACTTAATTTTGTGATTTAGAAAGTAGAGTTCCCATAAAATATATGTATCTAATACAACTACATGCTATGTTGATAGGAATTTGAAATAAATTTTTAGTAGGCATGATTTAGGATTTTTGTTTTATTTTTATTTTTATTGAGTGTTGAACATGTTCAACGCGAGAAATAAATCTGGTATTTCCAAGCACCCATGTATTTTTCTGTTTATTATAAGGACAGTCTTTGAAAAGCGATATTTTTTTACAGAAAGGCGATAATTGAAAAGCATTTCACACGTGAGATTATCACTTTTATCGGTGCTTGAAATCTCTATAAAGCACTGTACTGTATATAATAATAATGTATAATACATAGATTGCAAGTTTTGTAATATAGACAACAATAGAGTTTGTATAATGCTTATGTATCTAATACAACTACATGCTGTGTTGATAGGAATTTGAATAAGTTTTTAGGGTTGAATAAGTTTTTAGTAGGCATGATTTAGGATTATTGTTTTTATTTATGATTTTCTATAAGCGAGGGGGCAAAGCAGCATTCTAATACCTACAGACAGGGGGTTTTGAAGTAAATTTTATTTAGGGTTTTGCATTGTTGTGCTTGTTATGTGCAGACTAACAGTGTCCCACAGTAGTATGATGCATTATAAGTTGTTGATCAGGAAAATATAATATTTCACAAAGTGAAAATTCTTTGTACCTATGTGTGTTTTAGTTACGATGAAGTGGCTTAGGAGTATAAGTGTTTTTCTCCATTTTATAAAAGTATGCAGTAGTTTTACCGTGATGTTTGTTTTATTATTTTTTTTACACAAGTATATATAGTGTTATTAATGTTGCAAGGTTAGCGATAAAATGGGAATTCCCTGTGATTAGAACTGAAGTAAGGCTGAGCAGAGTGTAACAATCTGCACATTTAGAACCTGTAAAAGCAAAAAAATGCAGCATAAACATACCATGAAACATGATTCTCGTGACTACCTGGCATGTTGCTACCAATTTGAATAAGTTGATTTAATTAATGATTTAAAGATTTTGGTTCTATTTTCATTTATGATTTAATTTTTATAAATGAGGTGGGACCCCAACTGCTTTGAGAGATAATGATGTATAATATATAGATTATATGTATTTACTGTCGTTCCAATTGAAGTGTTGCTCAAATATTGATTCAATATGCGCTGACCAATTCATTTCATCAAGTTCCTCGAGATATTCATACACTTCCTAGTATAATTGTAAACTTCCTGTTGAATAGTTTGAATGCACCAATCACCTTTGTTGTTTGTGCAACTAACCAATCATAAATAGAAAGGAAGTGACCAGAAATGATCAAATACTTGGAATTAGATCTTTCACAGGAAGTGTATGAATATCTCGAGGAACTAGATCAAATGAATTGGTCAGCCAGAGGTAATGTATTGAATCAATATTTGAGCAACACTTCAATTGGAACGACAGTAATACAACTATATGGTAGGATAGGAATTTCAATAAGTTTTTAGTAGGCATGATTTAAAGATTTTTGTTCTATTTTCATTTATGATTTAATTTTTATAAATGGGGGCCCCAACTGCTTTCAGATATAATGATGTATAATATATAGATTATATGTATTTAATACAACTATATGGTAGGATAGGAATTTCAATAAGTTTTTAGTAGGCATGATTTAGGATTTTTGTTCTATTTTTATTTATGATTTCATTTTTATAAAGGGGGCCCCAACTGCTTTGAGATATAATAATGTAGAATCAATGGATTATATATGTATTTAATTAATACAACTATGTGGTACGATAGGCATTTGAATAAGTTTTTAGTAGGCAAGATTTATGATTTTTGTTCTATTTTCATTTATGATTTAATTTTTATTTAATTGGTGCCCAAATCACAGCGAGCCCAAGCGTTGATCTGTGTTAGTGTTGTATGTTTTTTCAGTTTATTTATTTTTGTGTCTTTATATTGCCTTTTAATTGAATTATAATACTAAATTACACTAATATGTCATATAATAATAATACTCCTATTGTCGAACATATAATAACAACATATAAGTTGATTTGTATGTTTTTCAGTTTATTTATTTAAGATCTATTATTAGCTTATATAAACACACCACCTTTCGAACCTGACAGCCAGTTCGCAGGATACACAGGTTATTTCGCACTGAAATAAGAAATGTGACAAGGGATGAAATTACAAGACGGCGATGTTCTATTTTGAAGCCGTATGTGCTTTTGTTAAAACGAATTTTAGCTTGAAATTCGGCTACATGATATGTCCAAGGCTAAAGTACATAGCCATTGAAAAATTTTGTGAAATAAAAGCCCTAGAGTCTTATAAATTGCTATAGTTTTTAATAGCGACGTTTCGTAGCATTAACGACTTGACTGGACCTAATGTATTTAATTTTTAATTTTAAACATTGAAACCGTTACAGTCGACAAAATTGGCTTCTCACCTTGAGTTGTATTTGAGTTTGCTTCCTTGTTTATATAATTGATTCCTAAATGTTGGTGGCGTTATTCGACATGACACTCATTGAATAATTATCGGTCCACTCAAGTCAGGGCATTCATAATACAACAAACTTTAAGAGTTTTATCCCTTGTCACATATTTATATTGTTGCCACCCCCTTATTTCAAATCCTGTGTGTATCCTGCGAACGGGCTGTCAGGTTCTTCGAAAGGCGGTGCTTTCATATAAGCTAATAATAGATCTTCAATAAATAAACTGAAAAACATACAAATCAACTTATATGTTGTTATATATGTTCGACTATAGGAGTATTAATAGGTTTTGTTTGTGGAAACACCACGTAAATTTATTTGAAAATTAAATAAATAATTAATTATTTAATTAATTAAATTAATTAATTAATTTTAATTAATTATTAAATTTATTTGAAAACACCACTTAAATTTTTTTTTTTTTTTGTGTGTTTCCACAAACAAAACCTATTATATTTTATCACCATGCAAACATACAAAGAACTTATTATAGGAGTATTATTATTATATGACATATTAGTGTAATTTAGTGTTATAATTCAATTAAAAGGCAATATAAAGACACTAAAATAAATAAACTAAAAAACATACAACACTAACAGGAGTCGAAATTTTTTTTTTGTACTTTACAGCTGGAATAGTAGATTTTTATATTTACTATTCCGTCTGAAGATCCACTATTTCTTAATGTAATGTTTCTGAGAGCCCGTTCATGCAGGGTCTGCACTAATGTTCTGGTTTTCACGAAATCATCCTTGAGCCTCCTAAAGTGAACTGAATAATTGAATAACAAAAAATAAACATGTACAGTGCATTGCTTTGTACAGTGATGAATAAATTATTAATAAAAAACAAAGTTCAAACACGGAAATGAACTTGCGAATTTTGTTGCGTATTTTCCGCCCAATTAACTTTCAAAAACTAAAAAATCGTGTCACATTGTCAAATCGCGTCCAGTGTGTGTATATGGACCTTTATTGTCCAGTTCGCAACGAACTTGAGAACTGCGCGTTGAAAAGTGACTTGAAATCGACAATATTACTGCAAAGAAATTAGAATATGCAAGTATTGCAAGTGAACAGGAACTTAGCTACGTGGTGGAACAGTGGCTCAAAGTCCGGTATAAAGTGATATATTATACAAGAGGAAAACTCTTGCTTGTCAATATTTGGTACCAATATTTGGTATACAAACAGAATACTGTGATCATGAAGTTTACTATTCCGTCAGGCATTTTAGTATATTCGGAATAGCGGGGATTTCTACCCCTGACTAACACAGATCAACGCTTGGGCTCCTGTGCCCAAATGCTTTGAGATATGATGTATAATATATAGATTATATGTATTTAATACAACTATATGGTAAGATAGGAATTTGAATAAGTTTTTAGTAGGCATAACTTAGGATTTTTGTTAGATGTTAGGGTTTGTAATCCAAGTGAGAATATATACATTTAAGACCTAACCAGGAACGACTAGCTACAGTATTTGAATTGTAATTGTTGTTCACAGTTCGCTTATCATCATGTTATTACTCAAATTACTGAATCTCATTTTGTCTCTGATAATTTTTTGCTTTATCATGAAAAATAGCACCCCCCTGCACCCCTCCTGGCCAGGG